TCTGTAGGTGGAACTTGAATATCTTAGGATGTACCTTAAAAAAATAAATGCCCTGAGTTCAGAGCATAATGAGACTGCTGAAAAAATAGTGACAATATTAACCACAAGTTTCTGGTCAGATGACTTGGAAGTAAATTACATTCAGTTTCAGAGCCTGCACCTGGCCTTGGCAATATCTGGCATGTCTTTGTGTGGCTTTGCATTCATATTTTCCTAGGTTTCTTCATGCCTGCTTTCTCACACTCGCATGAAAACCCCACACAACTAGGGGGGCTGGCTGACTAATTGGTGGTACAAAGGAAACAGTGACAGTGAGTAAAGTTCTCAGCAGCACAAATGGAAAAAAAAAACCAAACCAAACCCACAAAACTGGGGTTTGGGGAAGAATTATCTGAGCTGTAGTAATCAAAGAAATTACAGTTAAATGTAAAGGGGTGGAAATGTTCATAAAAATACAACTGTTGTAGGACTGTCTTTTACATTCCTGTTTCATCTGCTGGCTGCAACATGGCTCCATGTCTTTGAATGTGTTTCAGATGTGCATTGGATGTAGTGAGACAGCTGTAGTGCATGGAGTATCACCAGCTGTTAATGCCTGTGCTCTAATTAGAGCTTAAAATGGTATAGACTGGGAGTATGTGTAATTGTATCTTTATTAACACATTAGGTTTGAAGGGAATTACTGGGCTTGCTTAATGTTAAACAAGTTAATTTGACATAACTGAATTAATACCTTTCCCAATGTAATGGAAAGTTAAACATACATCAAATACAGAAACAAGGCTAGGTTGGTTTTGTTGGCTGATGTGCCTTGGGCTGCTTTGAAAGGAAACACGAACAGGAATCCAGTAGTTGTCAAGACTGGCTTTAGCCATGTTTGCCACCAAACGCAGTGCCCCCCAACTCAGTGCACTGAAACCCTCAGTGATGCAGAGGGTTACCTGAATGTATACATATCATCCCCCTCTTTCACTCATTGAGAGAATCCAGAGTTTTATGGAAGGGAGAATATGACGCTGGGGGAAACACGGTGCCAGGTAGGAGTAGCGCAAGTGTTTTGGAAAGTCCACATTCAATTGGAAGTAGCACATTTTTACTCTTTGGTGTTCTTACAGGGGACTTGATGGACTTGTAACCTGAGCTCTGGCAATTGTCAATGTGAAAAGCAAAGGGATGCACCATTCCCATGCATGTTTTTTTCAAATGTATCCAGAAGGCGAGAGTACTGCAGGAAGTGTATTTGCCAGGGAAATACAGATCTTTCACTATGGCCATGACTGCCAAGCTGTATACCCTCATGTTCAGTCTGGAGGAAACTTCCCAGGATGTTTATAGCCTGTTTTTCTTTTGGAGGTTGAAGGTGTATAGAAAAGCAGTGAATGCCCCAACCTTGTGTACCTGTAATCGCTGCACATGATTTTGCTAGCAAAAGTATTTGTTTTTATAGTCATACTGGCTGAGTCCTCCCAGTGTCTGAGAAGGCAGCACATGTTATAATGTTCACAACAACAATAATGACAATAACATTTTGCATTTGAAAGAGGTGTATTTGTTTTTTAGGTGATGCACCTTATGAACAGGCTCTTCACTTCTGCAAAGTTATCACGTCTTTAAAAAGACAACAGGAGCAGAAAGCCTTATTAAAGTTTCTTTGTATACACAGGGAAAGCAGCCATGATTATGAATATCCTTGGAAACAATATTTATAGACTAATAAGCTTTTTTTTTCCATGGTAACTTGTCTGGCTATTCTCTGGTCATACTCTGCAGCATCATGTCTTTGTAATTGTGGGTAGATACATGCCAAGCTTTCCTGATGGAGCATTAAGACACCTTTGCCTAAACTTTCCTGGTTGTGCTGTTCTAGGATCCACATAAAAGCCAACAGTCATCCTTATAGACAGATTTATTTTCCTGTGCCTGGCAAGCAACCTGGCTGATAGGTGAGAAAGTCACACAGTACAGTACAGGTGTATTGGTGCAAGCAGACTTGAAATGTATTTAGAGGTCTAAGAATTGTGTTAGCAGAGGCCCCAGGATGGGAGGGCTTTGAGCGTGGTTCACCTCTCTGATGCTAAACTGCAGTCTTTAACGACCTGAGCATAATAATTATTATTGGTTTATTGTTGTTGTTACTGTTATTCCAAGGAGCTACAATAATAATAATTTTCAGCTAATCTTTATGTTCCCTTTGTTGTGCTGGCTGGAGGGGGCGCACAGACAGGGGGACAGGCACAGCAGGGGGGTCTTTCTGGTATGCACCTTTATTTCCAGATCAGCAGCTTTCTTTTGAGCTGCCCTAAACTCTGGCCTATTCAGAGGAATAATGCCTGCAGGGGAGATACCTCCAGTATATCTCTTAGTCCCTTTGTGACAGCTCTTCCAAGTCACCTTTTTATTTTTTTTTTCTGGGGTAGAAGCACAGCCAAGAGATTTGTGTGACAGGGTTCATGAAATCCCAGCTGTGCCATATACGTCTGGGTCCCAAAAAGTCAGGACAGTTTCCAAGGTGGGTAGCACGAGATCTTCCCAAGAGACCAGTGCCATCTGCTACAGAAATGTAGCACCACCCTTCCCACAAGGCGCTTAAAAACCACTAGGACTTGTAGTGTCTCAGAGCATGGGGGTATTGAATGGGGAGGGAACGGTGCTTGTCAATGGCTTTTTCCACATGGAGGCCCTAAAAGTTTGCTACAAGGCACGCATATTGCTGGTGTCGGGAGGTGTTGCAAAGGTGCTGTCATGGGAGTGGGCTTCACAGTTCTGGTTGCCAAGTGGCTTTGCCATGTTTCACCCAAAATAGGGCTGCACTGAATGTAACAAATTAGCTTTTCCTTTCTGAAGTTGTTTAGGGTGATTCTAGAAGTCTCTTTTAAGGCTTGTGAGGACAAGTCATTGAAGGCACGGCCATGTTAGCTCCCTCAGGAGGAAGGGGCTGACCCTATAGTGACACATGGGGAGATGACTGGGCTTGATTCTCCTTTAAGATAAAAAAAATTGCCCGGAAGAGAAATTTGCATCCAGAGGCAATGCTGTATTTTTCTAAGCTTGGCTTTTCTCTGAGTATAACATGAACTGCTAAGGCCCACCCAGTGAAATCAAAAAACACCAGAAAACATCATGGGGCTCCATAGGAGCAGACCTCCCTGCTCCTTCCTGCAACAGCCGTGGTAAGGGGAAGCTGATGCCATCAATAGAAGAGACAATCCAACCAGAAAATCCTGCCTAGAGGCCAGGGCGCCGTAAAGATCTCAGGCTGACCCTAAGGGAGCTGGATTACCATTGCCAGTCGATATGTCTATGTTTTGTTGACACTTTTCAGCCATGGTATTTTAATGATAAATTAAAGCTGGTTTTATATACAAGGCTTCAGGTTGAGCAATTCTTTTTTTTCCTCACTGAATTTGTTTCAAAAAATATGAAAGTAAACTTTCAAGCTGCATCTATTAAGGATTTTCTCCACAGAGCAAAGATCGTGTTGCAAACCACCAAAGAGATAGAGTATTTAATCTGATTATGTTCTGATCATTGCCAGTAAAACCTGTATGGTTTCCAGCTGTTGCAGACTAATACTGCTGTAGTATTACAGTTTCACAGTTGTGAGTTTGCTAGACAGTTTTCAAGCTGATGGTTATGTGAGAGCTCTGCTCTCAGACCATTGTCGTATGCATTGGTCTCAAAGGCTGGATGGGCTGTTGATATATTGTATGAACACACAGAATAAACCAGGATGCTTCCCCAACACAAACAGGACACTTTTTGTTTTGTATCCCCAAGAAAGGCACATTACCAGATTTTGAGTTGAAGTGAAATCATTGCATTTGTTGGATTATTTTGTGACGAGAATAATCAGGGAGTCCAGAAAGCCAGTCTTTGTTACCACCTACTCATGAGCCACTCCATAACCTGAGGGAAGCCTGCAATTCCCCATATAAACTGAAAAAAAAAAAAAAAAATCAAAGAAAATCAATATCCTTCCCCACCCCTTGCTTTTGCTAAGTGTTTTAAAAAATATTCAGGTGAAAGGTGGTAGGCAAGTAAGAACTATTACACATTAGAAAATATTTTGCTGGTTTGCAGCAAGCTGCAAGAGGAAAGCAACAATTTGACACCATCACTTTGAAGTGAGGGATAGAAGCAATGTTGCTTGAACTAAAAAGGGATTTGTTTTATTTTGTTAATTGCAGTCCTTTTGAAAAATGATACTTAGAGTGCCAATGAAGTGCTAATTAATGTTAGGATGTGGTACACCATATAATAAAGTCTGCTGTTGAGGAATGTGAATGAAGAATAAATTGTTTCTGAGGTGTTGATGGCTAAACAAGATTGCTTTAAAAGTGGGCAGCATGTAAGCTTGACTTTGCATTTTTGCAAGCTGTCGCCTTGCTCTTTATGTTCATTAGTTCATTTTCCATGGTGTGAAACTGAGAAAGAGAACAATCCTTCCATTTTAGCCACCACTGGCATTCCCATTCTGACCCTGAGGCTTTTAGATGCAGCAATTTTGGGGATGGGGAGGTGCTCCAAGCAGCATCGTTGAAAAATTGTTATGTAACGAACCATCATCAGTTTAAAAAGATAATTAAGATTCTGTTTCTCACAATGTAATTTTATCTGATACTTTGCCTTTTGTCTGATTGTATGTGCCATTGTGCAACTTTGGCCCCACATTGATGAAACCTAGAATTGTCAGAATTTTGAGGTTATGCGTTTAACCTCTTCAGCTTTACTCTCATTCACTGCTGTCGTTCAGACAGAAACATTCAGGGAGAAACTTTTCCTTTCTATCTGCTCCCTTCATTATTTAGTGAAGTTTTCTTGGTCTATCATACCTTTCTATCAAAGGTCTAGCAGCTTCTGGCTTTGCATTTAAGAGTTTTCCCATGCAGACACATGGAGGAGCACTTTGCTGCTGTATATTGATGATAGTGTGTGGAACTTTGTGGCAGACGCCCATCCCTGATTCCCCCCCCATCCTCTCCCCCTCCCCAGTTGTCTTCTACTGCCATTCTTGATTTCTCCAGTGCTGGCAGTGGGAGCCCCAGGAAGGCACAAGAGCAAAAAGTTATATTTCAAAGAGTATACAATTGATTACTTTAAGTAAGTGCCCTATCCCTGGCAGTGTTCAAGGCCAGGTTGGACAGGGCTTGGAGCAACCTGGGCTAGTAGAAGGTGTCCCTGCCTGTGGCAGGAGGTTGGAACTATATTGTCTTTAAGGTCCCTTCCAACCCAAACTGTTTATGATTCTATATGATTTTCTTGCCACAGTGCTCCCAAACCCTTTTGGCTTGGGTAGCTGGAGACTTGTTCCAGGCCTTTGATGGATGGCTTCCTTTGCTCATGCCTCATCCTGGGTGGCTTCAGCTGAGCACAGGAGCTATCTCACCATCAGCTTCAGGTACCCATCAACCATTCCAGTACATCCAGTCAAACGTAAAAACACACTGCTGATGTACTAAGTACTGATGATCCTGGAATAATAAGCATCCCATGTTCCCAAATTATGTTATATTTGATGTGACCATCCAAACAACTGTGGGAAGCATAATCCTCATAGATGGACCTAGTGAACTTAAGGCAGAAGAACTAGGCTGACTCTGACTTAGTTGCAGATAAGCTCAGCCATATTGTCCTGGGGAATTCAGTCCTTGGTGAGGCTTTTTTCTCCTTTTTCTTTCCCAAGAGGATGAGCCCTGAGAATGTGTCCTTCTAGCCACGTAAGAATAATTTGCAGGCTGTCCAAGTTTAAAATCTGGCTTTTCAGCAGGTATGTTCTATTCAGCTGTTGTGAAGACAAACCTTCAACAAATTGTGAGAATGATGAGCAGTACTGAGTATTTCATGAACCCTTCCCAATGGATGAGTTCAGACTCAAGTTGTGTTCACTTCTTCAGAAAGTAGGCAAATCTGAGTATAAGTGATGAAGGAGGAATATCCTCTCTGCTAGAAAAAAAATAGGAGAAAGATATATTGAAATAGCTGGGAGTACTTACACTCATTATTCAAAGTCAGAGAGAGGAGCTGAGGGTCAAAGGAAGAACAGCGAGTCCAATCAAGGGTGTGTGTGCAGACAGCTTTTGGTTGTCAGCTGGCCAATGTTGGTGTCACCGTTCTATCAGCAGCCCTTCATTTCATTAGTAAGTGTCCAGTGGAGCACAGCTGGATGGAGGGACAGTACCATACCTCAGAAATCAGCAACACTTTTCCAGCTGTGGTCGATGAGGTAGGCACAGCAGCTTCTGTGCAGGTGCCTTACGGTAGCCAGCTGTTGTGGTGACACCCTGTGTGGAACATCTGGCTGGGAATATGGAGCTCATCAGTCTGACACCCTCCAGGGCTTTCTGAGTAGAGCATGTGGTGGTCACAGGTTTTGCCAGCACACTGGAGATGCTTTTCCTGCCACTGTGATATAGCAGCAGCTGAGGAAAAGGGGAGAGGATTGACCGAACCTCTTGTGAGAAGAATATTTCACCTAGAAAATGCAGTTTTGAAAAAATGCAATTGTATTGTGACCAAAATGCTTACTGTCATGGAACAATGTGGTTTCTTCTTTGGAAGGAGGACAAGGAAGAGTATAATTTTGACATACAGATCTGTTCTGTAGTGGGTTGCATCTTCCAAAGGTTGCTTTTTTCCTTTCTAGAAATATTTTGGAATTTTTGTGCTATTGTGTTTTTAACTCCCTGATCCAAAAGGAGAGCAAATCTGCAATAGTATGTAAAAAAAAAAAAAAAAAAAAAATTGCTTGATAACAATTCTGTTTACCAAGTTCTCTGTATCATTATATAATATTACTATAGCCCTGCTGGCTTTAAGTTCCATAGGTTAATAAGTTTTGCAACAGCACTGTTTATATGGCATGGTGATATGCTTTTTGGCAGTCCCAGTATTCTAGGGTTGCATTATATTTCATGTGGAAAAACAGAACTTTCCCAGATGTGCACTCACAAAATGTTGTGATTTTTGATCTTTACACTGATATAGCCAAAACAAGGTTTTATTGATTGTAAACAAATGTGAGCTCACTTGATCAGCATTGAGCAGAGTATGGAACTCTGTACTCTTTTTTTTTTCAAGTCTTCAAGTATCACTGGCTATTTTAGAAAACGGTAATGTGTGAACAGAAGTCTTAAAAAGAGAACTTGGGTAAGAGCTCCTTTTGTTTCCAAAGTCTATCTCCACTTCCCACACACATTCAGCTTGCTTCTGGATATGTATTTAAGGCAGAGAGAGCTCCAGGCTGTTCGTGCAATGAGATTGGCAGGAGGCAATCTTTCTTTAAGTCGCACAATTGAAGGGCACAATTGTGCCCTTAGAATATAAGCTAGGAAAAGAGCTAATATGATAATTAAATGATCTGAAAAGATGCCAATTAAAATAAATAGTTTCACATCATCTCAGTAATAGAAGTGATCTTACTTTAAGAAAGTGCTTTTTATCTTGAAGGCTTCCAGAGCCCCCACAGCCTGGTATGTGCTTCACCTGCTGAGGAAGGGCAACTGAAATCCAGTTTTGGAACAGGAAACGCATTACTATTATCAATGCTGTTTTCCAGAAATGATGTGATGTGCTGTTACAACCAGAGCCACTGGCAAGGTGACATGTGGATATAGTGTTTGTTGATCAGTATCCAGAGTTTTGCCTCTACATGAAGACTTCTTGGGTGCTCATTTTTATAGACCATATACAACTTCACCGTCACAACCTGACAGGGCTACAGAAATCTGCAACCTATCACTTAATCTAGAAGTAATAAAAATAAATGTTTTACTTGCTTCAAGATTTATTTCCTTGTAAGAGATGAAGTATATATTCAGATTTAAAATATGCCCTCTTAATTATTTTTAACATACAAAAAGCAATGGGCAGATCATCTAACTCTGTTAGATCAGAGCCCCAAAGCCAACATCCTGGAAGAGCATCATTACAGTACCATATTTTTGCACCTCTGCTTTTCCTCCTTTGAAAATACACTTCTACAACTCTATTGAAAGAGAACAGCTTGCTAGGCTCCTTACCCGAAGAGCAGGTAGTCTCATCTCAGTCACAACAGTGTAGTCATAAGGTCTTTGGTGAGCCTTGGCTTGGCGTAGTTAAGAATTAAAAAATTTATTAAGAATTAATGTTAGTGATTCATAGTGATGCTTCAGATTTCCTTTCACTGAGGAGTTTCATTATTTGTGGCCAGGTTATTCTCCTATTGCTATGTACAACTTTCACAAGTGCAATGGAAGGAAAAGAAGAAATAAAATTCTGCAATCCCTGCTTTTCCAGCTGCTTCTTTTCATCCCCTCAGCTTCACACCGTGGTCATGGGCACTTGTTTGAGGACCTTACACGGAGTGCTGTGAGCTGAGCCTTGGAGGACTTGTTCCTAAAATGGAGTGACCAAGAGATTATGAGGTTTGATGTGCATACATCTTAGACATCTGCATTTCCAATGTTCCCAGAACCAGTCCTGGTAGAAGACATTGCACTGCTCCTGCTGCTTCAGGCTAGTGTTTTTCTTGATCTCTCTCCCACCAGTTGCACACACAATGCCACATTCCCACTGGTGTGTTTTGGGTTTTTTAAAGTAACTCTTGAGGAGAACAAATTATGTGTGCTTGTTGCATCCACAATACTGTGTGTAAAAATGAGCACAGAAGTGTAACTGAGCATCTATTTATTATCCCCTTGTGACTGTATCTACCTCAGAGATAGACAATTGACCTAGGCTTAGATTTTCTAAAAATTTATGTGTATCAAAAGGGATCTTGTACAGGCAAAAAGCAGCAAGTTGTTTTTTCCAAGAGCGGATTGCCATTTTAAGCAGTTTTTGGCTTAATAAGTAAAACGGCTCAGGGCTATATGCATGCTGTAATGATTGCATTTTGTAAGAAAAGACTGTGCCTATGGGTCTCAAAGTTTCACAGCCGAGACTAGTCATATTTGCAGTCTTTTAAGTCACAACCCCAAGCTATTCTCACCACCGTAGATAAGGGATAGCTGATCACAGAGTAACACTGATTTTAAAATAACTAACCACAGCAAAATTAAAATGGCATAGTCAAGTAATACAAAGACTGTATGATTGACAAGATATCTGTTCTTTGAAATGTACAGTAGGCAGTAAATAGCATCTTATGTCTATAAGCTGTTTTCTATCGTAAAGCCAAGAATAACGATCTGGCATCTGTCCTTTCTGAGTTCTAAAAATTGCAACAGCTCCCTCCCAGACAAATGTCTCTAGAAGTGATAGCAGTGGTGTGCTCATGGGTTGCAATTATATCATGGGGTTCTCTTTTTTATTTTTAAAATTGTTTCTCTAATGTAAACAGCTGTGCAGGGTGGAAATGGAAGGCTTTGCCTCTTACACTTGTGCTTGGGTGGACTTAACTTACATTTGCATTTCCTTGGGGTGGGTGGGTAGTGAGACAAGGAAATGCAATATCAGCAGCTCCAATTTCTAATTTATCTTTGTCCCCATCAAAATTCAAGTGCAACTAAGATTTTTTTTAGACTGTAATCTAGATAATGTTACCTAATGCCACAGAGTTCAAACAGCTGCCAAGCTTTTCTGTACAACCCATTTCTGGCAAACACACCGAGTGTATACAGCTTGGATGCATAGGATTGGATCATATGCCTCCAAGTTCTATATTCTGTGCAACGTGATCTAGGCTGTGGTCTACGTGCATTGTGGCATAAAATGCTGGTGGTTTGCATCATGCCTCAGTTCTGCTACATGAGTGTTTGCTTTTTATTTGGAAACGGGTTTCCTTCTGTTATTGCCTTACAAGGGCCATAGGAGAGCTGCTGAAAATGTAAGTTGGAGATCATTTCTGTTCCTGATTTCTGACAAAGTACTTGCAAGGCACTGTTTATTCCTGATTTACAGTCACTGTAATGTCCCTATTCGGTGCCCTGTTGTGAAGCATATTGCAGATGTAATCACATAGGAGTGAAAAGTATTCTTGTCCAGGGCCCTGATGCTTGGTGAGTGAGTGTCTTCCTCCATGTCACCTGACCTGCAAGACCATTCCCATCTCACAGAAGCAATAGGAATCAAGAAAAGCTAATAAACCACCAGATTTTTGGCTTCCACCCCCCCACTCCCCACCCTCTCCCCCAGTATATGCTGGAATGCATTCTGATGAACAGAAAGCTCTTGAAATATGTCAGATGGCTTTGTAGAAAGAAAAATGCTCCCTCTTTCGGGACTGGTATGTTATCTGATGTCATGGCATTTTTTATTGGTTTGGGTTGGTTTTTTTCTAAGTAAAAAGGAGAATTGTAACTTCCTTTACACTAGTACATTAGCATAATACCTTGCCTTCAGGTACTGTTTGTCATTGTTATGAGTACATTCTGACATCTCTCACACTTCCAGCACTCCAAAGATCCATGACAGAGCTGAATGAAAACTTTTTTTGACTTGGCAGGAGCAGCAAGAACACATAAAACCTGCCAGCTGTCAAGGATGTAAATGGTGATTTTGTTTCACTTTTTTAATGAATTAAAGCAGGATTGAAATCTGTCCAAAGACAGCATGTTTGGCCTTGCAAGGAAAAAAAAAAATGAAAGGGAGGGATTTATTTTTCTCTTTTGGCACTTATAGTGTGTTTATTCTTGGTAGCACAGTATAGAACAGAGCTACTCTACTGAAAGAGCCTTGCCATGGTTGTCAGACGTGAAACATGTCTCGCTTTGAGAGAGGAACCATTTAGGGGGCTGGCAGAAAAAAAAACAAAAAGCCTTATTTCAAGGCAGACTCTTGAAAAATGCAGCACCCATCACTGTTTTGGAGAAGGGTGACAGTGGATTGCTGGTAGAAGTCATTTTGTGTCATTTACCATAGTCACATTGAAGCATCTGATAGCTTGTAACTTCTTTCTTACAAATGATGCTTTTGCTGCTGTCTTACTGGTGCTGCTTTTTGGGATGGGAACAGGTGTGACTTTGATTTGTAGGGTTGGCATTTGCACCCTTGTATAACTGAGTGGTTGCAGTTGGGCCCTCTGGTTGAAAAGTAATATGGGTTGAAGCTTTGGGGAGATGTCCTGACTGTTCACCCCTTACCCTTTGTGATCATGGCACCGTTCTCTGTGGAAAAACATTGCAGTTCTGAGCTATTTGGCATTGTATATCCTTAACCTACATCTCTTGCTATTGGCAAGTTAGCTCCAAAGCTTGGTTGGGAAAAAATGGATGGCTTAGAAATCATGTGGAGTTTAGGTCCCTTCTTGAATTTTGTGCTTGAAATGTCTTTGAGAATTATCTATGAATAAAACTGATTGTTTTGATTATGATTAGACCATTACATGCTCATGTATCTATCTGGTTACTCAAATTGCGCCTGTAGCTGCACATCTATTCCTCCAGTCAAATCTTACTTGTATCACATGTAACTAAGCACATTGTGCCCACTCCGCTATACTTGTGTGTGTCCCTCTTCAGAGGTGAAAACACAGTAAGGGATTTGACAGGTTCTTTGCCTTTGGCGCCATAATTTCTGCTTAAGATTTTCAGGTGTTCTCCCATTTGAGAGCTAACCAGTTTCAGATCATGGTTTCAAAGCTGTTATCAGTTATGAAGTCTATCTCAACACCTTAAAAACTGAACTGCGGTTGTCTTAACATTAGCAGAGAGATATCAAGTCTGTTCTATTGGAAAATATAACACCCCACATCAAAATAAGTTCATATTGATGGATGTTCCTGGGTCAAAGACCACTCTGGAAGCGGAGCTCAGTTTTGGACTTGAGTCAAGCCCAGTGCAAGCACATCTCAAATAACATGGGCTGAGCTGGTCTTAAGTGCAGCACAGAATAGGTTCTCATGTGCCTAGAGAGGTGCATAGAGCAGTTTAGCTCTGGCAGAGATTTACAAACAGACTTCAACTTACACTTTGTGAATAGACCTAATAATTCAATGTGACTTCTCAGGCAAGCCAAGCCCATGCCACACTTCAGCCAGGTGGTTTAGACAAAATAAAGTGAAGAAATTTGTTCAGACAAAACAAAATGTATCCTAAATTCTTCCGAAAACTCGAGATGAACCTGAATTTCTGAGCAAACAGTGTAACTCCCCTTTCCTCCCCTTGCCTCTCCCTCAGCCTCCTAAAACCCTGGCACCTGTCCACTTTAGCTGGAACAGAAAGACTCTTCTCAGATTTCCAGCCTGTCTTCAAGTAGGAAGTATAGAAAATCTTGCAGGAAAGCCTTTTCTTATGAGCTTTCCAGGCAGATTTTCTGAATAAAGAGAGTCTTACACATTTCAGTTATTTATTAAGTCTTCTAAGAAGCTTCCATCCCCAGCTTTAACATAATTCTTGAGACACGACATGTAATTACAAGATGAAAGGATACTAAACCCTCCAACCACTTCAGTAAACTTTGTAGGATTGTGGGTGATCAGAAATATATTGAAAACCAGAACCCTTCTCTCATTTGTTTGAGGAGAAATCTTTATTTACAGCAGCGTGCCTGTTAATTGCAGCATGCACTTCTATGACAAGAGCAGAGGGGACAATCCAGCGGAATGAAATGGGTCAGGTCAGCAAATACGTGTACGTCACGCTTTCCTCACTTTGAGGCAGATTCCATAAAGACACAGAGCAGGTTCACCTTCCTCTGGATCCTGCTCTCTCACTTAGTATCTTTTACCTCTGCCTCTGAAATGGGTGGAATCCATTCATAGAAATGAGTACAGCTGCCTCCTCCTCAATGAAAAAGCAAGTGCAGTAGATGAAAGGAAACCCTGCTGTCTTTCAGGTGAAGTTTTTCTCCCACTTGTTTGCAGCTATGGGAGCTTCCCCATACTGTAAGACTTGGCAAGGCAGGGTTGAGGCATGTCTACCTCTACCAGCGGTCCCACCAGGCCCCATGCTAAGGGAGTCACATGCCTGCAGCTACTGAAAGAAGCTGTAGGTCCACAACATGAACACTAATTTATAAGGAGATAAGACAAAGCAAGTTAGGCATTTAAATCTTGCTTTGAGAAGGAACAGGGGAAAGATGGGAACAGCTAAATGCATGGAAAAGCTGACTGGCCACCTGCTGAACTCCTTCTCCCCAGTTACAGCACATTTTATGCCATCAACACACAACCCTGAGGTAAATGGCATGCAGGGAAGAAGTCAACGGGTAATTATTTCCATTCTTTCCTTCCTTCCTGTAAGTGTTGTGCAGCTTCATGACTTCCTTCATGAACGCATCTTCTTCAAAGTGTAGGCTGAGCATTGGTGAGATGCAGCGATGCTCTTGCTGCAGGGCTTGTAATGACGGTAAGTGTACAAGCCTTTCTGAAACTCACTTCTGGCACCAAAGGACACCCAAGCAACAAACAGCACACCATTGTGTCAGTCTCAAGCTGAAGTACCTCTAGCGCTCCTGAGGCTTGTTGTAAAGTCTTCCATTCAGGTAATGAAGAGGTCCAACCTTTGTGATGATTTCATGGTATAAAACAAATCTAGTTTAAGACTCAGCCTTACTATTCCAACTTCATTATTACTACTTATTTTGGTGCATGTCTAAAACATCTAATGTTCAGCTATGTCATTCTCAGGGTAGAATCCATACTGGCTTGATCCAGTTTAGCAGAACAAGGGTTAGCACTTGTGATAAGGATGAAACAGCGAATTGCCCTTTTATTCTGAAGAATGAAAACAGGGCAAGTTTGCCTTTAAAAGTGTGGGCGTTCTTATGTTTATAGCAAATCCCTGTCCTTAGATTGCTTCTTTTTTCCTTTTTCTTTTTATCATAAAGCAATATTTCTTCCTGGTCCACAGCACAGGAAACAGGAGACACTTAGTGGATAAAAGCTGGGTGGTTACCTGCTGCCTTCAGCCTTTCTCTGTAGTGTGTTGTCTGTGCAAATATTCTACCAGGGTACCTTAACAAGCTGCTGATGGGAGGAATCCTTTTGTCTCATCTAGTGTTTGTAAACCCCTCGCTGCCACTGACAAGCTAGACTTCATCCTGCTCAGGTAAACAGATTGACTTGTGTAATGAATGACCTCAGACAGAAAGAGGCAAATTGAAATATTGGCCCAAAAGAATGATTGCTATCTAACCATGTGTTAAATAAGAATTTTTTAATTTCATTCAGTTATTTTCTTACTGCTAGTATTAGTCTAACAACTGTGATGCTGAAACAATTTTCCCTTGTCTTTGCTGTATGTATGTGCTATGATCCCTTGCAGTCAGATGGGGCTGCATTAGACACTGGCATGTAGATCACATAAATTTGACTAACAAGGACTAGAGGTAGTTCAGTAGCTGTCTGCAGTACACTAGTGGTGCATTTGTCCTCATATTTTCTGCTCTTTCTTGAGCCACAACAGTGCCATTATTAGTGCTGACAAGAAAATAGGCAGGAGTATAGTTGTTGGTGATGGTGGGCAAGAAAGGCTGCTTTTCTCATTTTCAGGAGAAATCATTTAGCAGGCAGAAATATGAATTCTCTCCTGTTTCCAAAAGGGCTATCAAAGGCTGGAGACGCAGACGCAATGGCCACACGTTGCATCCTAGGCCTGCAAGAATATACATGGCTCCTAGCATGATGATCATTTCACAAAGTATTGTTAAAGATTCAGTGAGCTAGCTATGTTTTAAGAGGGGGCCATTAAACACCACCAATAACTAGGCTTCCTGAGCCCGCGCACCATTAGACCAGCTTAATGGTGGTGAGACTCCAGGTAATACCTGCGACAGCATTGACATCAAACAGCATACTGTGATGCACTGAGGATGCAGAGAAATCTTCTGTGTTGCTTCACATTTCTTTCCCCCTAGTGCTTTTATTTAGGGAACTGCCTAAATTATGACCACTTGGGCTGTCTAATGGAGATAAAGTGCATAGTGTTTAGCTTCACTTTCTTTCATAGCACCTTTTTATTGAATACTGTGCTGATGCAAATTATATGTTAATAATTACATAAAAGTGTCCCCAAATTTTTAGTGTACTGGAATATTTTTCAGAGAAATGAAGGGAGGGAGTGTTTTTCTGTATACTATGCTATAAATGCCTCAAAAAAAAAACATTCTAGCCACAAGGAAGCAAAGCAATGTAGATGAGAAGACATACAGGGAGA